CCCCATGGGGGGAGTTAATAGAATATATAAGAAATATCCTGTTCCCCTCAAACCTCCCTAGTTTTAAACTATTCTGCAAAATCCATTTATTGAGGTATGTGAATAAAATGTGACAGAGAATGTTGACCAATACCCCAAGTTTCATGTGTATGAATTTGAAAGAGCTACTGCTGCTGCACAATCTAGATCAGTCAATGAAGCCCCATTTCTTGGCCCATTCGATCACCTGACATCACCCCTTTGAACCTTTTTTTTTTTGTATGTTATGTCAAGAATCACATGTATGCTACAAAGTGTCAGACATGAAAGCCCTGCATGCAAGAATTGTGAATATCATTAACTGTGTGACTTCTAACATGCTGGCTCAGACATGGGTCAAAATCAAGTACAAACTTAGTATATTATGTGCCATATTAGGAGCACACATGGAAATATACTTTAATATAGGAAGTAACTTTTTAGGTGCACTTTCTATTACTATTGTCTGCAACAGGAGGTGAAACAAAAAATTTTAATCCTGATAATATCTACAGTATACATAATGTTCGAAAAGCCACATGTTGGTCAAGACAAATAGGAGCAATCTGCCAGTGTAGCTCTGAAAGAATACTTGTCCTAAAAGATATACAGTAAACAAGCAATAAATAAATTGCTGTTTATGTTAACACTGTTAGTTTTACTAATAAAGTTGCAGACAGACTCTATATTATCCAATGACATGAGTTTGAGAACAAATCACTTAGTTTTTTACAGTGAATAAGTTAACATATTCTAAAATCGATGCTGGTTTCAAAATAGTTCATTGAGTGTTTACATAGAAAGGAGGAAACTACCAAAAACTTAAAAGCTTTGAAGATACAAATTCAAGTAAGAGTGTCTAATAACATTAAAGCACAGATTGATTTACAGAAAATGAATAAGAAAAAAATAAATTTGAATCATGTATGCCTTTGGTAATTTTGGAAACAAAATTACAATGAAGTTGTCCATGGCACATGAATATCTAAAAAGCCATGAAATAATTTCTCACAATTTTTATAACTATTGGTAAAATTAGACAAAGGAAAAGATGATGCATTCTAATTGCAAGTTAAATTCAGAAAATAACTTCTTATTATTGCATAATCTACAGCTACTTTCAAATTGATTTAAAACTCAGATAACCCACAAATTATTTGAACAAATTTACAGTAAAGATCAGTTTATAGTCAAATGGCAGTGTTGAGCTTCAAGATTGTTAGCCATTGCTGAAGTTAATAAGATCACCACCTAGTTTTTAGCACAGAATAGCATTTGCATCAAAACGTCAAAGCTGAACATTGTTTAACTCTGAAACTGTGTTGCATGACCAGAAGTGAGCATCTATAGTTTAATGTCTAGTGAAGCAGAGGACAGCAAACATAACAG